AGTGGTAGAATTCTCGCTGCCACGCGGGAGGCCCGGGTTCGATTCCCGGCCAATGCACTCCCATTTTTCTGCTTGTAAGACAGATGTTATACAAAATTTACAGCATAGGGTGTATGTTGCAGATAAAAAAATAGACATATTCTCCCCGTCGGGGAATTGAACCCCGGTCTCCCGCGTGACAGGCGGGGATACTCACCACTATACTACGAGGAGCTGCCTGCTGTCGTCCACCTGGTGTTTCTGGGTCCAACTCAGGACAATCTACAGTTTCTGAGTGGGTTTTTTTAATTACTTGCCATCATGCAATGTCTTCCACCAAAATTCAAAGTCTTTCATATCGGTGCCCTGAAGTCACGAAGGTATGATTTTTTGATTAGAAATACATCGGTACGAGTCCGGCAGCAGGTCTTGTAACTGTGGCGAAATTCAACCTTCCTGACAGGCGTTATTGTTGCCTCCTCTTTCATATTTAAGGATATGTGAGCACTAATTTTAGACTTTGGAACACGTCACTGTTTCAACATTACAACCATATTATCTCCTGAAGACTTATCACCAAAGCCCCATCCTAATAGCGTGGAACCCCCTTGTTTAGGGAAGGCATGAGTCTAGTACTGATATTCATGGAAGTAACAAGGTCCCAGTTAGGTGGAAGAACAAGAATGTGTGTGTGTCTGCACAAAGAGGAAAAGTGTTGAGGGAACGTAAGCATTGGTGGTTCAGTGGTAGAATTCTCGCCTGCCACGCGGGAGGCCCGGGTTCGATTCCCGGCCAATGCACTCCCCATTTTTCTGCTTGTAAGACAGATGTTATACAAAATTTACAGCATAGGGTGTATGTTGCAGATAAAAAAAGACTATTCTCCCGTCGGGGAATTGAACCCCGTCTCCCGCGTGACAGGCGGGGATACTCACCACTATACTAACGAGCAGCTGCTGTCGTCCACCTGGTGTTTCTGGGTCCAACTCAGGACAATCTACAGTTTCTGAGTGGGTTTTTTAATTACTTGCCATCATGCAATGTCTTCCACCAAAATTCAAAGTCTTTCACATCGGTGCCCTGAAGTCACGAAGGTATGATTTTTTGATTAGAAATACATCGGTACGAGTCCGGCAGCAGGTCTTGTAACTGTGGGCGAAATTCAACCTTCCTGACAGGCGTTATTGTTGCCTCCTGTTTTATATTTAAGGATATGAGAGCACTAATTTTAGACTTTGGAACACGTCACTGTTTCAACATTACAACCAATATTATCTCCTGAAGACTTATCACCAAAGCCCCATCCTAATAGCGTGGAACCCCCTTGTTTAGGGAAGGCATGAGTCTAGTACTGATATTCATGGAAGTCAGTAACAAGGTCCCAGTTAGGTGGAAGAACAAGAATGTGTGTGTGTCTGCACAAAGAGGAAAAGTGTTGAGGGAACGTAAGCATTGGTGGTTCAGTGGTAGAATTCTCGCCTGCCACGCGGGAGGCCCGGGTTCGATTCCCGGCCAATGCACTCCCCATTTTTTGCTTGTAAGACAGATGTTATACAAAATTTACAGCATAGGGTGTATGTTGCAGATAAAAAAAAAGACGTATTCTCCCCGTCGGGGAATTGAACCCCGGTCTCCCGCGTGACAGGCGGGGATACTCACCACTATACTAACGAGGAGCTGCCTGCTGTCGTCCACCTGGTGTTTCTGGGTCCAACTCAGGACAATCTACAGTTTCTGAGTGGGTTTTTTAATTACTTGCCATCATGCAATGTCTTCCACCAAAATTCAAAGTCTTTCACATCGGTGCCCTGAAGTCACAAGGTATGATTTTTTGATTAGAAATACATCGGTACGAGTCCGGCAGCAGGTCTTGTAACTGTGGGCGAAATTCAACCTTCCTGACAGGCGTTATTGTTGCCTCCTGTTTTATATTTAAGGATATGAGAGCACTAATTTTAGACTTTGGAACACGTCACTGTTTCAACATTACAACCAATATTATCTCCTGAAGACTTATCACCAAAGCCCCATCCTAATAGCGTGGAACCCCTTGTTTAGGGAAGGCATGAGTCTAGTACTGATATTCATGGAAGTCAGTAACAAGGTCCCAGTTAGGTGGAAGAACAAGAATGTGTGTGTGTCTGCACAAAGAGGAAAAGTGTTGAGGGAACGTAAGCATTGGTGGTTCAGTGGTAGAATTCTCGCCTGCCACGCGGGAGGCCCGGGTTCGATTCCCGGCCAATGCACTCCCCGTTTTTCTGCTTGTAAGACAGATGTTATACAAAAGTTACAGCATAGGGTGTATGTCGCAGATTAAAAAAAAACGTATTCTCCCCGTCGGGGAATTGAACCCCGGTCTCCCGCGTGACAGGCGGGATACTCACCACTATACTAACGAGGAGCTGCCTGCTGTCGTCCACCTGGTGTTTCTGGGTCCAACTCAGGACAATCTACAGTTTCTGAGTGGGTTTTTTAATTACTTGCCATCATGCAATGTCTTTCACCAAACTTCAAAGTCTTT